CACTTCCACATGTCCCATTTGACCTCTCCCCTCCAGCCTGGTGGGGATACAGTTGGTGGGTTGGGGTTGGGGCTCTTTCTGAGGTGCCAGCCCCATCTGTCACACCTCACTCAGCCATCTGAGTTCTGTCCCCTAACTTTGGGCTCCATCCCTACAAAAGAAACAGGCTGGCCTGGCCGGCGTGGCTCAGTGGTTGAGCATCGACCTATGAACCAGGAGGTCATGGTTCAATTCCCGGTCAGGGCATGTGCCTGGGTTGCATGCAACCAATCAATGATTTTCTCTCATCATTGATGTTTCTCTCTCCCCCTCCCTCTTTCTCTGAAATCAATAAAAATATATTAAAAAACAAAACACAAAAGAAACAGGCTGAAGTCCTCTCTGTGGAAGAATGCCCCTCCCCTCACTGTTAAGCTGCCACCTGTCCTCATATTGGAGCCCCACTTTGCTGCCTTGTCCCCTCGCCCACAGCTCTCTGCAGACACTTGTTGCACCCTGGATGTCCTGCTGCTGACCACTTCCTTCTCCAAACGCACTGCTCACTTCCTGAGCTTCTAGAAGGTCACTTCCTCCCTTATTTTGGTCTGTGAACACATCCAAGCGATTTCAGCCTCAGGGTCTTTGCAGGTGCCAGTGTCTCTGTCCAGAACGCGGACCCCTCTCCCAGGCCGGAGCCGCGCCCCTTACAGCACATCGTGTGTCTTATGGATCTTTACTTGTGTATTGTCTGCCTCTCCAGACCCAAGGCCCCGAAGGAAGAGAACTGCTCATCTTCATTTCCGGGGTCTGCTGGCCTCCTGTGTGCGTGTGTGTGCGTGCGTGTGTGTGTGTGTGTGTGTGTGTGTGTGTGTGGTGGGTCAGATTAATATTGTGGATTTTTTTCAATAGATGGAGTTACACATATGTTGATATATATGCGATTTGATATGTATACTATTTTGTTGTATTGACAACAAGCTTCAAAACTTCATATGCCAAATTTTCTGAAGGTGTTAACATCATAGATATTTTTACGCTTAAAAATGTCGAATTTCGTGCCAAAAAAAGAGCATTTGCAGGAAGTTTTAATTCATTACTTTATTTTGAAGAAAAGTGCTGCTGAAAGTGATCGTATACTTCGGGAAGCTTATGGTGAACTTGCTCCATCTCAAGATACTCGTGAACGCTGGTTTAAATGCTTTAAAAGTGATGATTTCGATGTGAAAGATAAAGAACGTCCAGGTTAACCGAAAAAGTTTGAAGACCAACAATGACAAGCATTATTGGATGAAGATTCGTGTCAAACTCAAAAACAACTTGCAGAAAGATCAAACGTTGCTCAGCAAACAATTTCTGATTGTTTACAAGCAATGGGAACGATTTTAGAGGAAGGAAAATGGGTGGCACATCAACTGAATGAAACACAAATGGAAAACTGAAAAGTCATCAGTAAAATGTTGCTTCAACCGCACGAAAGAGTCTTTTTTGCATCGATTGTGACTGGCGATGAAAAGTGGATTTATTTTGAGAATCCCAAATGCACAAAATCATGGGTTGATCCAGGTCAACCATCAACATTGACTGCAAGGCCACATTGCTTCGGAAAGAAGACAATGCTCTGAGTTTGGTGGGATCAGGAAGGTGTGGTGTATTATGAGCTTCTAAAACCAGGTGAAAC